GGATACTGTTTTTGATTTCACAAATATGAGATAATATTCATATAATTTCATGTTTGGACAACATGGACAAGTCCACCTTGCGGAATGTTTCTTGTAGCCAGTGTAATCTGTGATTACAGACAACCAAACTACCAAATTCCAAAATGGTGCCAAAATGTCTCAACCTTAAACAGTCAAACCCCGTTATCTCAAACTCTGTTTTCTCGAATGTACTGATATCTGGAACCTAATCTACAGTCCCAACCACCTCACTATAGAAATACATATACATTTGCTTATCTCGAAATTGAGATAAAAACATATTGAAACTTGGTCTGGGTCCCAAGTTGACTTCACAATAGTATTTTGTACTTTTATCTTGAAGTTGGCATTTGCCCAATAATCCTACACTAACATCTGGTCTCTGAAATGAACATATTTACTGATAAAAACAGTTGTTAAAATTATAGTTATGAAATTTAATAAAAAGTAGCCAAGAGACTCTCTTCATTTCTGATACTGCAGTAATCTAGACTTGCTAAACATTAAAGACTTGCATTGGCTATATTGGATATGACAGACTTACTAAAACATCCAAGAATATCTAGAACCTTGCGTCACACATCTAACATCGCTGATAAAGTGCAGTGCAATTTGAACCATTTGTTCACAAAATTACAGACTATAAAGTGCTTGCTGTTACTGTATTGAACGTAATAAGCGCCCAGGGCGCTCTCAAAATTAGAAATAGGGGGCGCTTATTAGAATATTATTTTGAGTTGAAAGATCGTAAATTTCGTGGTTTATGCTAACAGCCTGAAATGTTTACATACGACAGATATATTTTTCAAGAATTTAATTGCCCATAATTAAGAGTGATATAACACACGAGTGCGTATTATACACGAATAAATAAGTCTTGTGTACATTGATCAATCGGAAGGGGTGGTGATTTGGATTGTATACTAGCCAATATATTAGCAAATATCGCCGTGGGCGTTTATTAGATCGGGGCGCTTATTACGTCGAATACGGTATGCCTAATAAGGTACATGAACGCTGTACATAATTTATCACAACTGTTAAAAATCATTTACGGTGAAATACATTTCCACTTGTCATTATATACATGCTTTGTGTTTCTTTTGTATGCAATAATATTGCTATGTATAATACTGTTACTTGATCTGTCAGGATGTCTGGATATCTCAAAGTTACAACCCCCTCCCCCGATAGGTTTGAGATAACAGGGGTTCGACCATACACATTACACTCAAGTTCTTCAAGGACTCAATTCTCATATACTGACGTTTTCAAAAGTAACCTTGCCTTTTATCTGTATCTTGTCATGTGGGTCTGAATATCAGTCTGCAATTTTTAATCTTAAACACATGCACATATTAATATCATAAATCCTGTAAAACAAAATGAAAAATAAAAAACTATCATCCAAAGAAAACCCCAAAAATTAACAAAATTCAGATGTGAAAAAAATATGAGAAACGTAACCACACGTTTACAGGTGTCAGAAAACGATTGCTGTCACTGCTAACATATTAAACACATAGATGACATGTTCATCATGCAATAACAAATGAACTTAGCACTAAATCAGAATGAACACGTACTGACAATATTAATTGACGTGTTGAATGTATGTGCTTAGGTAAAAAACTGCATCCATTGCACAAACAAAACTAGTGCTACGTGCAGTTACAACTTCAACATGAGTACAACAGTCACTGTGTTCCTCACACTTATCTCGGTGTTAATAGATGAATGTTCCCACTTTTTGTCTGTAGTTACCGTTCCCCACTTTTATCCCCTTATCAATTACACTGCAGTTGTCAAGTTTTATACGGACTGTTCCCGAGTTTATCACAAAGTTTATATGAAATGTTCCCAAGTTTTATCCATCCGTTTTTAAGTAGACGACTATTCCCCAGTTTACCACAAAGTGTACATGAAGTGTTCCCCAGTTTTATTCATACATTTTAAAGTAAATAACTGTTCCCCAGTTTACCACAAGATTTATATGAAATGTTCCCCAGTTTTATTCATACATTTTAAAGTAAATAACTGTTCCCCAGTTTACCACAAGATTTATATGAAATGTTCCCCAGTTTTATTCATACATTTTAAAGTAAATAACTGTTCCCCAGTTTACCACAAGATTTATATGAAATGTTCCCCAGTTTTATTCATACATTTTAAAGTAAATAACTGTTCCCCAGTTTACCACAAGATTTATATGAAATGTTCCCCAGTTTTATTCATACTTTTTAAAGTAAATAACTGATCCCTAGTTTACCACAAAGTTTATATGAAACGTTCCCCAGTTTTATCCATACATTAAACAGATGACTGTTCCCCGGGTTATCGCAAAGTCTACATGAAATGCTTCCCAATATTATCCACACTTAAACATAAGCAGATAACTGTTCCACTGTTTTACAACAATATCAACTGAAATGTTCTTCAACTTTCTCAATAAACTAAACTAAACTAAACGTTTCTGAACATTCACGACTATAAAATTTAAAATATTCCTATGTTTGATAAATAAGTTAAGATATATGTGCCCTGGATAAAGTATATGAACATTTCACAATTTTTGCCCAAGTTTGGACCAATTGTTGTGATATGCTACCTATAAGTTGCGATGTCTGTTCCCCTGTTTTTAGTTAAATAGACAACAATTCCCCAGTTTTATCATATCAATTTTAAGATGTTTTTGTGCTGCAAAATATTATCCCAAGACACACGATTCCTAAGACTAACTAAAGTCTATCAAAACTAAACTACTTCTAAAGGTTCCAGGCTGCAAATAAGTCTGATATTAGTTGTCTGTTCAATAGTATCTACAGATCATGACAATATATGCTTCCGTGTCCTTAATGCATGACGAGGATACATACCAAGTCTTTATTTTGACCCCCGTCTTTGGTTTACCACATATACTATATGTTGGAGAAAAACAGTTAAAAATCTCATTCTTAAAACATTAACTCTTCCAATCTAATAAAATAGTGAAAATAAAAAACATATTTAAAAAATAATTAATTGACAGTCTTAACCTTTCATCCCTTGAGTGACACCATTGCTAGCATCAGATCTAAGAAATTGTTTCTAGTTTCAGAAGCCTTACTTTACTTGTTACAACATTCAACATTGAGTAGGTGAGGTGAGGTGAAATTGGGTTTAACATCACGTCCAAGATTATTGCACTTATATAGCGACGTGCATGTACGTGTGTGTGTGTGTGTGTGGCTGCTTGTACTAGTCTGGACTGATGCCGATTTATAGTGCTAGCCCACTGAGATACCATGCTGCAGTTTAACATGAATACCCCACTCAGACACAGTATACTGACTCCGAGCTGACCAGTACTTGTTTTAGCCCCTTAATGCCGAGCGCCAGACAGGGTAACAACAAGTACCATCTTTCAACGTCTTTTGGTATGACGCGACCGGGGATCGAACCCCGGACCTTCCGCTCTCCAGGCAGACGCTCTACCTCTAGACCACGGAGGCGGTCACATTGAGTAGGAATCCAGAGAGTCGGGGCATGTTGATTTATGCACAGTCAGCATTATTCCCAGAAATATACCGCAGCTTGTCAATAATTGAGTCTAGGACAGGTGAACCAGTGGTTGATAATATGAGTACCAACCAATGCATCAGGGCATTATGACAACAGGACAAAGATTGTATGTATACCTGCTTTCCTGGTGAATAATACTGATAGGAACATATGGACAAAATAAATGCCATCATTCAGACCAGACTCAAAACAAAGCTACAGTATATGAAATAGTCCTTGGTACTTATAGTAATAGAACTGAGACATACTCACACACATAATGAGTGAGTGAGTTGTGTTTATCGCCGCTTTTAACAGTATTCCAGTTATATCACAGCGTGTCAGCTTAATGTGGGAGGAAAGCCTGAAGTGATGCAGGTCTTCGACGTTTACCACTTTGGTGAAACCCACGAGTACGGGTATGGTGCTGACAAACCTAGAAACATAATCGGGGCGAACCTGGATTCGAACCCACAATCATAAGCTTCTGGCGTGCCCAAGGGACGCAACTCTGCATAGCACATTCCGGCGCCTTAGACGACTGGGCCACCCGTGCCCCCTCAGATATAATAAACTGCTTGTGTTTTTATAATCTCACAAGCTATATTCAAGACTAAAACTACAGACACACATTACTGAACGAGTGAGCAGGGTTTAATGCCAATTCAAACAGTTTTTCTGTTATATCACAGCATATCAATTTGATGTGGGTGAAAGCTCGATGTGATGAACATTTTAAATGATTACCATTTTGGTAAAACCCACGGGCATGGGTATGGTGCTGACAAACCTACAAAAATAATCAGGTCGAACAAGGATTTGAACCACATCATAGGTTCCTGGCAAGCCTAAGGGATGTAACTCTGTACAGAGAATTCTGATGCCTAACACGACGAGGCCAGCCTTGCCCGAACACATTATGAAAGCAACTTGCAAAACTAATGACTTTCCAATTACCACAGGGATGAAAAGTTAAGATATAGTCAATAGTATTTACAGACTTAACAACCCTGACGTTGTTCAATAACATTTTGATAGAATTAATTCATCTTTCTTTTGTTACAATCAATTAATTTCATACCATGTCCTTCTGATGAAACCTAATGTCTGTGAAATCAATTCAAGATTATTATTTCACAACTAGTCATCTCAGCAACTCACCAAACAACATGGTTAAACAAAAAAATCAAATGATTATTTTTTAGGTCAGGGATCATCTCAAAATTTCATAAACGAATATTAGACATACTTTTACATTCAAACCAAACAGCATAATTTTTAGAAATATTATTTCAAAGTGTAGAACTTATGTTTTTGTGTGGATAATTCCATCATGACAAACTGAACAATATTTGTTTGACAATAAATCAACAATTGTGTTAGTGTTACTGGGGAGCCGTTTATTACATTTGCTCAAATCTAACCGGAAAAGCTCTTACCATCAGTGATGACATATTGTGGGTTTTGGCACAATATCTCTTTGTATCCTTCTCGGAACGATGGACTGCGGAACGCATAGATGATGGGATTACAGGCGCTGTTAAGATAGCCAAACATGTACGCCTGTAAAGGAGAAAAAAATGATAATTAAAAGAAGTTGAAACTTATCAAAAAATTTGTTTTTACTTTTACAGGTGAGAGAGGATATGGTTTATAGGCACTTTTCAGCAATATATAATTCCCTCAATATCACAGCTTTCTTTCAAGTTACTCAGCAATATTTCAGCTGTATGGTTGCGGTCTGTCAGTAACCGAGTCTGGATCAGATAATCTAGTGATTGATATTGTGAACAATGATCTATGCTGTTGGGGTATGATGACATGCATCAACCAAGTCACTGAGCTTGATCACTTGAGCCACTTGGTTGCCTGTGACGACCAGCATAGGATGCTGGGCACCTGCTCTAACTGGAATTCCTCATGGAGTCATTGGAAACTCCAAAGTCTTAGATGTTTATCACTGTGGGTGGGTTGGTGAGTGAGTGAGTGTGATTTTGCGCTGCTTTTAGCAATATTCCAGCAATATCACGGTGGGGGACACCAGAAATGGGCTTCACACATTGTACCCATGTCGGGAATGGAACCCGGGTCTTCGGCGTGACGAGCGAACGCTTTAACCACTAGGCTACCCGACCGCCCCCACTGAGTTTGTATCATTGTCTACAGTGTTCTGTGTCACTGACTAAATAAACAGTCTGTGAAGTTATTGTTGTTGACTTATTTACATATGAGAATTGACTTCAATATATTTTTCCATTTAGGAGACATAACGGTAAAATTCTGCCGGCACCCTTTGCGTGAATCTGCTAAGAGAACTTATACAGTATGCACACTGGTTTTTACGTTGATACTTCTATAAAAGCAAAAAAAGTCAATTCTTAAATGAACACACGTTGAAGGAAAATTTAACGAAAGACCTACATTTTCAAAGACAATGGGCCATTTTAACATTGTGCTGTATGGGCAAGTGTGGTGTACTTCTGGAATATTTGAAAATTTCAGATACAGAGCCCATGTCAGAAACTTCCTAGAGTGAACCCTCCATGCATCAACCAAGTCAGCGAGCCTGACCACCCGATCCCGTTAGTCGCCTCTTATGAGAAGAATAGTTGCTGAAGACCCAATCTAGCCCCGATCTTCCCAAGTCTACTCACCAAAGGATTAATGTAGATGGAGAAGTGCTTCTTGTCCTTCAAGCTCGTCACATATATGGTGTAGATGTTGTAAGGTATCCAACAAGTAATAAAACACGCCAACACAATGAACAAAGTGACCGCCACCTTTTTCTGTTGAGCAAGTATCACATCTTGTTCCAGTGTAGTATTTTCCTGAAGCCGTTTCGTGTGAGCCCGTATTACCTTGAACATTTTTAAGTAGCAGTACACAAGAATTAACAGCGGAATAACAAAATTAGTTATCAAGATAATAGCATGGTGGGTGTAGGTTCGTACATCGTGGGGATATACAGGGCCGCACTGGGACGTGCCTTCCTTATAGGTCACGTTGTTCAGTCCTACGACCGTGATGGTGCCACTCACTCCCGCCCAGATCCATGTAAATGCCATCATCAGGAGAACACATCGTAACGTAAAAGAACTGCTGAACGGACGCGTTATTGAGTAGTACTTGTGAATACTGATGTACATGAGAGTATGAATGGATGCTACTAGACAAAAAGGGTTAATGAAACCGTGAATCACACAAAACTCATCTCCAAACTTCCACGTTCCAGCGAGGATTGTCGTGATGGCTGCTGGCATCGCCAGACAACCAACAAGGAAGTCGGCCACCGCCAAGTTCACCAAAAACAGGTTGGTCCGAGTTCGCATCCCACGGTGTCGGACCACTACCAGGATCACCATGGCATTTCCCACGACTGATAACAAGGCGGACACACACAGAATTGAGGAGACTATCGAAGAGAATACAATTCCCCATTCCCTTTTAACCGGATCTGTGCTGTTAGCCGATAAATTCCCCCAAACTGGAGTCGTGAAATTTTCGTCAAACATTTTTCGATTTTATGTTCCTTTATAATAATTCACACATGGATTTGCGCTTTACTTTTGATAATTCCACAGCACCTACATCACGGACAAACAGGGAAAATCAAGATCAGATATTTCATAAATCCATTACAGATGCATTTCCTCAGAAAAACTCTTGCATAGATAATTCCATGAATCCATTGAATGTTTGGAATCTTCCAGTGGAATACTGTGTTTAACAGAGATCAGAAACATGCCATTTCAACAAATTGATTGACAGGTGTCACTCAATGTCATTACAACTCTGTAGATGTCACGACCTAGATGTGTCAATCTGCTAACTGTATCGCCACATCCCCGTTTCCGATGATGACTCCTTGTCAATCCATCCTCCGAACCGTCCTCTGCTATTTGCACTAATAACACAAATTGATTTCCAGCGACAAGATAATCTACTTCATTAAAAGAAGCATTTCCTGAACGAATCCATCAAACAAAATCAACCGAATCATCCAATCGTCACACTTTTCTCAACTTTTGTCACGATTCCTCGTCTTTCGAACAAAGCGATATTCTCCTGAGCCACCAATGAGTGTCAGCTCACATGACACAAACTATCCTCATTCATGAAGAATCAAAATCAGCTAATTTTCCAAACGCTTCCGCAGTGTCACAATCCAATTCCAAATCACTTTTCCCACAATGCCTCACACATAGCTGTTCATGAACCCAAAGTAGAGAACACGATATTGCGACTTGATATCCAAACTTCACCGGACGTCCTCCGTTAATACCTCGCGAATACCATCAAGTACTGTTCATCCTTCTCTGCATCATCGATGTATTTGCTGTGTCTGTAGCTGCCAATCATCGCAAGTGACGACGGTTAGCGCTGAGTTCAGTCACAAGTAACCCAGTCCATGGTCCTGTCGCTGCCCATCGCAATCTGTCGAAGAAATCAAACATTCATCACAATGCATACTGGGAGCCCAAACACATTGTAAGTCATAATTAGCAGTTACAAAGGGCTGCCAGCCCTACACTGAAATAAAAGCCTTATGGCCCTCAATAACATATTGATTAAACCCTATCGTCCCATTGAAAGATCGCCTTGATACATTAGGCAGGAGTTTATCATAGCTCTTAGTGGATAATGCTTGCATCAAATCTGTATTTAGAAACCTCTGTCACTGGTAAAGCATTGATTTCGGGCAAAACTTTGACATCAGAATTTGTTGTCGATTATATTCTGTTTTATGTAGTAAGAGGAAGATGTGTGTTATGTAATTAAAATGTTTTTCATCACTGGTAATGACTTCGATATGAATGGTGGAAACAGTCCTCACTAGGAGGTGATTATTTCAATAGGTCATCTTTTGTATAAAAGACATGTTGAAGAGGGGTATAAAATATATACCGTATATCGCTGTGTATAAGGCGAGTTTTTCGTACCTAAAATGAGGGGGTTAAGAAGGGGGGTTGTCTTATCCACGGAGTCGAAGATCTCACATTTTTTTCCACTGGCGATGTCAACCGGCATCCGATAGCCAGCCCAGCATTTGACAATAAAACTTCGCATTTCGTCCTAAATAACTGTTCCAATAACTATTTCCATACATAAACATGATTTGTATCTCTTTTCCTTGAATAAAGTTTAATAATTTCTGCAAATAAAGTTGAAATGACCCTTGCCTCGATGCAGATTGTCAAACCATCTGACACGGTAAAACAATATATTTATATATATGATGCAACTCTTAGGTGAAGTTGGTGAGTGAGTGAGTGAGTGAGTGAGTGAGTGAGTGAGTGAGTGAGTGAGTGAGTGAGTGAGTGAGTGAGTGAGTGAGCCAATGACGACCTGGGGACCTGTTTTAACCTGAAACCCTCATGGAGTCAATTTTTGGAGATGGATAAAACGTCAATGCCACAGAAAATTCATTCTCAATTATCTGCTGAAACAGATTCCATTTGGCGTAAAAGGCAAAATAGAGGTGAAAATGATGTGAATGGATCACTGAAAATCAGTGATGACACCAGGTGTTTGACAAAATGGATAAACATGTCCGACGAAAGCCCAAAGTTATGTAGGTTATAGATGTTTAACACATGCACAGGTATGATGCTCACAGATAAGGATAATAAAAACAGTTTCCAATGACAAGCAGATCCTGGTATGGCTAAGGGAGGCAACTCTTCAAAGTGAGTGGTAGTGCCTTAATACCATTCAACCACCAGTTGCGCTAGTGATTACATGACACAATCGAGACTACTTGAGCTTAATCATGGGAACCCATTTTAGAGATTTAATTTTAACAGATTGACCAAGCACAAACCCTCCAAAATCTGAGATTAATTCAAAATTGAATTTGTCTATCTGGTCTCATTTGGTCGAGGAGAAAAATAGAATAGATGCTTCTGTTCAAACTGCATCTGTTCATGTCTTCATCTGTTACTACAGTAAACTACGTTTATAACGAACACGCTTATAATGGACTGACGGATATAACAAACATTTTTTTTGGTCCTGTCAATTTGCTGTGTATATTCCGTACATTTGCTTATAACGAGCTACGGTTATAACAAATTAAAATTAGTGGTCCCTTTGAGTTTGTTATAACAGTAGTTTACTGTATAAGGGTAATGCTATTTTTCAGGGCATTATCATCTCCAGAAGCCCGAGGTCTTCCATTACCTGCCCGAAGAAGGAGGGCAGTTGAAAAGACCGAGGGCTTTTGCAAATGATAAAGCCCTGAAAAATAGTGTTACGATTATTATAGCTAAAATGGATAGAATTTTTTATCTAATAAACTTAATCAACAATATCGGTTTTGAAACATTTAGTGCAATCAACACGAATTTCACTGAACCACTTTTACAAATATGGAAACGTCATAGAACAAACCAGATGACGTCACTATTGAACGTGAGGTCACCTTTCCCTATCCTATGACGTCACCTAACAACGGACGTGATAATGACCAATTGTCAAGCAATATGAGGGCATTATCAAGTTACAGTGGCCCGCTCATTTCTGATAACATGCGGGCAGTTTAATGATAATTCTCTCCATAGCCATAATTAGCCATAATGACAACTATATAGTGGTATATCTGGTCAAACTCTGCAAGAAAACAAACCCTTCTCTTCCAAGAGAGTAAACCTCATTATGCTTTCGACCAACTGGCCTGATTTTTTTTAGGACAAAAATCTGTAAAATCCCCCAAAACCAAAATCTGGTCTTATGTTATCTAAACTAAATTCTTGTTCAGAAGAATGATCTCGACTGGTCACTCATTTCAAGTTCATGAAGAAGAGACCTGTGTTAAGTTAGACGAAAACAATGATTCCACTTCTGAAGCGAACTTGTGAGTGAGTGAGTGAGTTGGGTTTAACGCCGCTTTTAACAGTATTCCAGTTATATTGCGGCATGTCAGCTTAATGTGGGAGGAAAGCCTGAAGTGATGCAGGTCTCAGACATTTACCACTTCGGTGAAACCCACGAGCACGGGTATGGTGCTGACAAACCTAGAAACATAATCGGGGCGAACCAGGATTCTAACCTACAATCATAGGTTTCTGGCGTGCCCAAGGGATGCAACTCTGCACAGCGAATCGCGGCGCCTTAGACGACTGGGCCACCCGTGCCCCCAGTGAACTTGTGGTGGCGAATACGTCCAGGGTATTAATACCTGATACACAATACCTGGATAATCGAGGATCAAGTCAAACTGGTTTGTGAATAACAATTCTCTCATTATGAAATGAATATCCAGAAGTGAGAGGACTTTTTGTAGGATGTGACAATCAATTAACCAATCAGGCATTAAGACACGCATCTCCTAGCAACCATTGTTACTAAGTCAAACAGAAACATAATCCTTCATAATAGGAAGTGGGAAAATCCCAAACTGGTAATTTCAAAGCAATGGTGGTTTTTCTAGAAATGACAATAAAACTGGCGATTTGCTGAGGAAGGAAGTCCATTCATCGATAAGAGATATTGGTTTCAGTTTGATATGAATGCAAACCTTTGAAGTATCAGGTATCAAAGGCTCTGATAAGACATACAGGGTTGTTGTTTTAAAGGACAAGATTGCAATTTCATGGAAAAAATATTGGAAAATATTAAGTGTTCTTTTGCCAAATATTTCTACAATATTTCAATAGCAATTACATTGTTGGAAATAATATTTCATTCAGAGACACCAAATGCAAACATTTAAGGCTCACTAAATGGGGGTCAATTAAAATCAAATTAAATAAAAATGTAAAAATTGTAATACTGGTGAGGTACCGTGGGCTTAACACTACTTATGGTCATTGTTTTCTTTGATTAGGGGCTGGGGCGGTCGGGTAGCCTAGTGGTTAAAGCGTTCGCTAGTCAGGCTGAAGACCCGGGTTCGATTCCCGACATGGGTACAATGTGTGAAGCCCATTTCTGGTGTCCCCCGCCGTGATATTGCTGGAATATTGCTAAAAGCGGCGTAAAATCATACTCACTCACTCACTGATTAGGGGCTGACCATTTGATATTTTTGTGTGGAAGGGGACAGATGGGGTTTTGTTTCGAGATTAGATAGATTTTTCAGCTACAGCTCTAAATGGTTGGTCCCTTGGTATAACGCCACACAATATACCTTGAAATAATACCACACTATACACCATGATATAATGCCACATTATATACCTTGATTATATCCCTTGGTATAATGCCACACAATATACCTTGAAATAATACCACACTATACACCATGATATAATGCCACATTATATACCTTGATTATATCCCTCGGTATAATGCCACACAATATACCTTGAAATAATACCACACTATACACCATGATATAATGCCACATTATATACCTTGGTATAATGCCACACAATATACCTTGAAATAATACCACACTATACACCATGATATAATGCCACATTATATACCTTGATTATATCCCTTGGTATAATGCCACACAATATACCTTGAAATAACACCACACTATACACCATGATATAATGCCACATTATATACCTTGGTATAATGCCAAACAATATACCTTGAAATAATACCACACTATACAACATGATATAATGCCACATTATATACCTTGATATAATACCACACAATATACCTTGATTATATACCTTCATATAATTCCACACTATATACCTTGATATAATGTCACACAATATACCTTGATTATATCCCTTGGTATAATTCCACACAATATACCTTGAAATAATACCACACTATACACCATGATATAATGCCACATTATATACCTTGGTATAATGCCACACAATATACCTTGAAATAATACCACACTATACACCATGATATAATGCCACACTATATACCTTGATTATATCCCTTGGTATAATGCCACACAATATACCTTGAAATAACACCACACTATACACCATGATATAATGCCACATTATATACCTTGGTATAATGCCAAACAATATACCTTGAAATAATACCACACTATACACCATGATATAATGCCACACAATATACCTTGATTATATACCTTCATATAATTCCACACTATATACCTTGATATAATGCCACACAATATACCTTGATTATATACCTTCATATAATTCCACACTATATACCTTGATATAATGCCACACAATATACCTTGATTATATACCTTCATATAATTCCACACTATATACCTTGATATAATGTCACACAATATACCTTGATATATCGTCACACAATATACCTTGATATGCCACAATATATACCCAATATAATGCCACACAATTATACCTTCACATACTGCCACACAATATATCTGGATATATTGTCACACAATATACCTTGATATGTCACACAATTTACCTTGATATGTCACACAATATACCTTGATATAATGCCAAACAATATACCTTGATCTAATGCCACACAAAATGCCTTGATACAATGCCACATAATATACC